TGGACTGACTTCGTAATATTAAAGCCTCAAACGTGCAAAATGGACGCCGACGTCGTATTCAGTCATATGCTCTGAGCATTTCAAGCCCGAGGATTTTTTGCGACGGTTTTCCTATGTCGAAGGTGAAAGCTTCGTTGGCAACAGATGGCTCAAAAGGGACGAGATCGGAATTTGTATATTCCCAACAATCATGCCATCAGCTGACGCACAGAAAGTTTCAGACAGATACAAGGGAATGGTATGCTAATTTTGTATTTTATACATAATTGTGCGTAACTTGAATTTGTTTGACTAAACTGATTTAATTAATAAACATATCATTATATAACATGCTAACACTTAAACTGATGTACAGTAATTGGATAAAGCATATAAGAAAGACAATTTCGTTTATTCTGTGAGAGCTTTCTTTGTCATTTCTGTCTTCAGCCTTGCAGATTTTTGTAATTTCCGTGTGCAATTTGATACAGTATTATACAGTGATATAATTCTCCATCTATGTCTCTTGCTATGCGTATGTTTTAGTGAAGTCAATATGCCCACTATGACCCATAGGTGTGTATTTTAAGGATGTCTCAGGAGGGTATCATATTTGACTGTCAAAATAATTATAGTGAAATATTGATCAATGCATACCATGTACCCATGCATATATAGATATTTTATTTTTCCATTATACAGTTACAGTTTTGATAAAATATAAAGATACAATTCATATGGAAGGAAGACTAACAAGCCCGTCAGGGCTTTTCTAGTAGTCCACCCTAAAAAATTTAAAAAACAAACTAATATAACAAAGGAGAATAGTGTCAGATAATGTCAGGTTCAAGATATATGAGGTCCACTAATACATATTAACTTTATAAAGTTATAAATTATTTTTATTTACATTTTTTGTGAGTATAATGTTTGATTTGTACAGATTATGTCGAAGAAATATTTCAAACTTTTCTCAATGTTACCAAAGATGATCTTAAAAAGGCAGCCAAGCAACTCAAAGAGTACGGTGTCTTTGCAAAGTGTTGCTCACTGCCTATGGCCCATAGATAAGTTACCCAGTATGCTTGCTGTTAATTTAAATCTTTTTGTTACTGTAGTTTCACTTCTACGTTGTTGAACAGAGCCAAAAGAAGTCTAAAGGAGCACCAAAATGCAGGGCATGTGAACAACCCATGAAAGGACACAAGTTTGTTACAGACTGTCCAAGGAATGAAAGGAGCACATCATAGTGTATTATATGGATAAGGCATTTGAGGAAGGAGGGCATATTGGGAGGTGGTTTTTTTTTCAGAAGGGCATATTAGGATTATTCAGGATGTTGGGGATTTATAATAGAGATTGGGGCTTATATTACAGCAGGAAGGGTTTTAACAGAGGGGAAATATTTGGAAGGGTGGTGCTTATTACGGATGGAGCTTACTAGGGAGGGTGGTGCTTATTAGGAGAGGACTCAATAGAGTGGGTACTTTATAAGGAGGGTAGTGCTTATTAGGGGGGGGGGCTAATAGAGAGGGTGGTGATTATTGTGGGAGGGGCTTAATAGCAGAGTGCTTTATAGGCAGGGTGGTGATATTTGTTAAATAAATTATATTATGCACTACTTGTATCAAGTTTTTTCTACTTTACTTCTTTTCTATCCCTGATGAGCACTAGTCAAAACTGATTTATGTTGATACCAAATATGTTCCATATAGGTTTCATTAGAGTATAATATTTAAATAGTACAGTAAAACCCTGCTTTACAAAAGAACCAGTTCAGACTAGAATTCCAAAACAGCTTCTTATTTTATCGAAGAAGCAAAAAATTAAACATCAATTAAAGAAAATAAGCTCTTTATAAAATAATGGAAACACTGTTATTTTGTAAACATCTACGGTAGGTTCTTATACGATGGGTTTTACTGTATGTTAGCTTAGTCATTAATGATTCATCTTTTGTGAGAGGGCATGTCTTCCTTATTGCATGGTATGCACATGCAGCAGTGGGATTCTTGTTTTTCCAATTACACCATACACCATCCTTGTAAACTTTCTGTATGCCACACTATGTAAAAACCTAGAAGAAATGAACAACTTTATCATAAGTAATCATATGTAGACAAATGCAAAAACTATTTCAATAAAATAGTATTTTATATTACAAAGAACAACCCAAACTATAATAGCTATATATAGAAACTATACATGTACATATAGTTCCAGATTTTGGTTACACCAACATTCATTTTTGAGATGTTGATGCTTATTGGAGACATTGGTCATGGAACAGTGTGTACCCCCATAAATATATCCCTGAAAGAGGATAAAGCTCTATATATTGAACAGTCTGTTTAGTCTTTACATTTTTACACAAATTTTGGAAACAATAGACCTTACCATTTATTCACTTTTGACCAAATGGCCTCATTTCCATGTTTGCCTATTTTAGCATGGCAGGCGCACATGAAAGTTAAATATTCATGTTTCCTGCACACGTTTGTCTCTCATTGATCTTAAGTCCAATCACAAGCTTATTCTTTACTCTCTTATGCGCAAAACATGAGTTTTAATATCACATGAAAATGAGGCCATTGGGTCAAAAGTAAATAAACGGTAAGGTCTATTGAGTTTCAATATAGGTAACTCTCCCATTAATGTTTAGTAACATTGTCTGTTTTTTTAGACAGAGTAAGATAAATATGAGCACACTATTGAGACACAGTGCAGCTTCCAACATTCCTCTCAATGGTCTATCATTATCTAAGTGAAATATGAAACAAATGGTGTTCTGTAATTTTACTCTGCCTGATACTGCTGATTAGGGAAAGTCCATGGACATATAGTTCCGCATGTTCCTTTGTCCATAGGCTTTGTCAAATAAAATTGCCTGGTGTTAGAGAGATTTGTAGGTAAGGTGCATAGCAGCTTATTATTAAATGGTTAAGTAGCAACATTCCAGCTCACAACAGCAATATATTCGCATTCTTGCCAATTACTCAAAAACTCCTGGCTACAATTTTCACATTTGCACCTAATATAAATTATGTAATATTGACAACATGAGTGGCCTTGCCATGCCATGAAATAATCTTTAACGTAAATATGTTTATTAATAGTATAGTATAGTATAGTATAGTATAGTATAGTACAGTATAGTTTAGCATAGTATAAGCAAAATTTGCGACTTACCACTCATAAAGTTTTGCAGTTTCCTGCAAACGCTTCAATATCTCGTCTTTAATGATCTCGTTCGCCCTCATGTCCACTCATCATCAGCGACAGGATCATCAACCCAAGCATAGCTGCATAGGCATGATATAAAGGCATCATCATCGCTTGAAACCAGATATATCGGCTTCTAAGCCTTCTATCCTTACATTTTGTCATATTCTGATAAATAATCGTTCCCTGATGCGAACGAAGAGGCCTCGGAAGATGCATCCGTCGAAGACATTGCAAAAAGATATAAAAAACCGCGAATTATTCTTCGAAATTAAAGCTTCTTTGTAATGGTAAATGTATAGTGTTTACAAGGAGGCTTCGCATGAGTTCACCAATTGACGTCACACATTCCTCTCTCACCAGTCTCCCAAACTCGGTCGTGGAACAAATGTGTGCAAACTTTGAGAAGCCATAGAATTGCGAGAATTCAACCGATTAAAATTTTTTTTCCAGTTTTGTACTTCATAAATAGCGGTTATTTATTATATGAAAAAAAAATTTAGGGGGTTAGTGGCACTTTAACATACATCTTTGTTTTTATAAACGATAGAAACAAACAACACTTACTAATGCAATTTAAACAGCATTTGTTTTGGTTATTCGTGACACTTCATATATAAGTTAACTATTAACCATAACAATGTGTTCTCAAACGTTTGTTTCAACTATGAAATGCGAATAAATAATTAAATTAGATATTTCAATATGTTAAGAAATTATTATCGAGAATGCAATTGTACGCATGTCTATATCAATATGAATCTAAACTTCCAATAAAAGGTTAATCGCCAGCTTGTTTTTATCTTATTATATTATGCGCACTATATATATATTATAAAAGTTGACCGGGCCTATCAGAGGTACAGTGTAAGGGTGGCCCTCACATTTGGAAAATGAAAGAAAAATAATTTGGAACGTTGTTTGATAAAAGTGTGAGAAAAAATTTTCTAAACCTAAATGTAGCAGATATTGGTGCAAAAAAAGCGTTTTAATCATGTTTTAAGAAGAATTTGTCAGGGAAAATGTGTTTTAAACCTTAACTAAGCTAAGGTTAGTCCGGAAAATTTTTTTGAACCCTTAATTTTTGAACTCAAGAATTTGAATGCCTTACTGCACTATTAAAGATGAACGCAAAGCCAAAGGTGCATATATTAAATATTGACTTATTAAGGGCTTGTCCATATGGGCAAAAGTTATCCCGGTTAGCGAGAAAACTTTTCGACGAGTTTAAAAGCGAGATCTCGCCTTGGTATATGAAAATAATATGAAACGTTACACTGCGTTCATATTTTCCCGTGTACCGAGATCTCGCGTGTTGACAGGCGAGATCTCGGTGACCGGGATAATGTTTTTCCCATATGAACACAACTTTCCAGCTTAGCGGGACCGGAAACTCAGTTACCCGGTAAGTGGGATAACGTTTCTCCAATCTCCATGTAAACAGAACAAAAGTATTTGGCTAGTCGAAAAGTTTTCTCGTTAATTAACCTGGATAACTTTTGCCCATATGAACAGGCCCTACGCCATTCCCTTCCTCAGCAGTTTAGCACTTTAGCATTCCATTATCATCTAGCGCACCACATTGTTATTACATTATTACAAAAGCTCTCTTGTGTTGTATTGACTTCTCATCTGTAAACTCAGTTTATTCCTTATTATTGGCGTGGTGGCAGCGGTTCACAAGGTATTCACGTCACGAAGACTGGGACATTTACCCCTCGTAAAGTGAGAAAGCCAAATCTCCGCAGGTGAGCAACCATAAACCGTTTAATATATCTCGTATTTTATCTTTCGTCAAAATGGCGGCTCGAGCGCCTAAACAGTGGCAATTATCCAAGAACGAAACCATAACTTCTTACGAAAGCTGGAGACAGAACTTAATATATATCCTATCCCAAGACAGCAATTTTGTACCCTTTCTTGAAGCCACATGGCAAAAGAAGACCTCTACTAATCCACACCGAGGCTTGGTCGATGATGCAGACCCCATTCCTGAACCTAGACGGTTAACCGCCGTTCAAAAGAACGCTCGTTTAGATTTATTGCTTGGTCAAATTGCCAATTTTTGCCCTGTCGTTTCACGCAGTTCCATCGTTAAGAATTCAGTCTCTCTTAATGATATTTGGCAGAAAATCCGCCAGCACTATGGTTTCCAGTCCACCGGGGCTCACTTCCTCGACCTAGCCACTATTATCCGGCAACCCGACGAGCGACCAGAAGACTTATACCAACGCCTCATGGCATTCTTTGAAGATAACTTACTAACTGCTGGTGGGGGGCATCACCCATCATGGAGAGGCGTTGGAAGCTGACGAAGATTTAACCCCCACCCTAGAAAACACCATCGTCGTTCTGTGGCTTCAACTAATACACCCAGGACTACCCTTGTTGGTGAAGCAAAAATATGGATCTGAGCTGCGTAACAAATCCCTGTCCTCGTTAAAACCAGAAATATCCCAGGCACTCTCTTCCCTCCTTGATGAGCTACGGTTAATCGATGAGACTCGGACACTGTGCATTGGCAGTACAAACCCACGACGAAATCCTACCAGTGCCTCAGACAACCCACGACGTAAAGCATTCCGGTCATGTATTCTATGCAAGACCGCTGACCGCTCGCATACCACCCATGACCTCATGGATTGTCGCTATTTACCAGAGCGAGACAGGCGACCATGGGCTCGTTCACGACTTTTGAAGGACGACTATGATAATCTGCACCCTGAAGACTGCGATACATTTGACCTTAGTCTCGAGGGTGTTGTTAACGCTGTGCAAGTCGATGACTCCACTGCCCATCGTGTGAGTATCGTTCAGTCTCCTGTCATCCGCACCTTTTACAATGAGCACCCTATCCAGTTGACCTTAGACACTGGTGCAACGTCCAACATGGTTCGTGCCTCATCTGCCACAGCTTATGGATTTCCTGAATCCCCTGCTTCTCAGATGGCTCGCCAGGCTGATGGTGTTACCCCAATGGATGTGGTTGGTGAAGTTCATTGCTCTCTCGCCCGCGGTTCGTCCACATTTGAACTTGACGCCCTAGTTGTTCACCAACTTGATGTTGACATTTTGGCTGGCAATCCTTTCTTGTCTAAAAATGACATTGCTATTCGCCCTGCAAAGCGCGAAGTTTTAATTGGTGGCACAGATGTTGTGCATTATGGTCAACCAGCGAAGTCGATCCCCCATTCCGCTGCTAGACGCACACAGTCCTTCCTTCTCCGCAGTCCACAGCACATGGTTGTATTACCCGGTGACTATCTTCAGCTCACTACACCTCTGGAGTCTGATCCCGATGCTTTGTGGGCCCTGGAGCCTAGACTCGATAGCCCCTCTAACCTTTCTCAGAAACTGGAAGCCGCATGGTCTCAGCCACAGGCCATTGTTTCCGTAGATCATACCTTACGTATTCCCAACACAACTCCTTCTCCAATTCTCATAAAGAAGGGTGAACAGTTATGCCAAGTCCGGCATATCATACCTCCCTTCCCCACCGACCCATGTGCCTATTCTTCCAGTACCTGTCGTCCTGTGATTTGCCCTCCTGTCCACAACAAGCCGTTTTCTAGCACAGTGGTTCTCGATCCAGATTCCTCTCTTCCACCCCACATCCGTGACCAGTTCAGGGATCTTCATCTCGAATATGACGACGTGTTCAACCCCACCATCTCCAAGTACAATGGTGCTTGTGGCAAGATTGAAGCTGTTGTCAATATCGGCCCAACCCTTCCTCCTCAACAGAAAGGTCGCCTACCACAGTACAACCGAAGTACTATGGAGGCGTTACAAGCTAAGTTCGACGAGCTTGAAGCCTCTGGAGTCTTTGCCAAACCTGAACAGGTTAACGTTCATGTTGAATACCTGAACACTTCTTTTCTTGTTAAGAAGCCAAATGGTGGAAGCCATCTCGTAACATCCTTCGGCGCGGTTGCCCAGTACAGTAAACCACAACCCTCACTCATGCCGAATGTTGACAGTGTTTTATGCGCCATAGGACAATGGCAATACGTCATTATCACTGACTTGTTAAAGTCTTTTTATCAAGTTCCCTTGGCTGCTTCGTCCATGAAGTATTGTGGAGTTGCCATATAAAGGTATCCGTGTCTACACCCGATCTGCCATGGGTATGCCTGGCTTCGAGACCTGTTTGGACGAGTTAATGTCCAGGGTCTTAGGTGACCTCATTCAGGAGGGCTGTGTTGCTAAAATTGCCGATGACCTGTATATTGGTGGAAATACCCCTAGTGAGCTCGAGGTGCTCCACCACTGGCGCCGCGTGCTCTCCCTACTGAAGAAGAACAATCTTCGCTTATCAGCCTCCAAAACCATTACCTGCCCACAGAAAGCTGTTGTGTTAGGCTGGACCTGGTCTAAAGGCACCTTGCAGGCTAGGCCACACAAGCTTGCTGCCTTATCCTCTGTCGCTCCGCCTTCTACAGTACAAGGCTTACGATCCTTTATTGGCTCATACAAGGTACTCAGCCGAGTACTCCCAAAGTATGCCGAGCTGCTCGACCCTCTCGATCAGGCTACCGCCGGAAAGGAGTCACGGGAGCGAATCCATTGGTCTGACGAATTACTGCTAGCATTCAAGACTGCACAACAAGCCCTAGACAATCACAAAACTATCTCACTTCCTCAGTCTGATGATGCGCTCTGGATTGTTACAGATGGTTCCGTAAAGAACAGGGGCATAGCAGCCACCCTCTATATTCAACGTAACGGAAAGCTCCTATTAGCTGGTTTCTTCAACGCCAAGTTGCGTAAACATCAGGTGACTTGGCTTCCTTGTGAGATAGAAGCTTTGGGCATCAGTGCTGCCATAAAGCACTTTGCCCCTTACATCATTCAGTCTGTCCACACTATCCAGGTTCTCACGGACAGTCGAACTTGTGTTCAAGCATACGACAAGCTCAAGCGTGGCGAGTTCTCAGCTAGCTCACGAGTCACTACCTTCCTGACAACTGTTAGTCGTTATCAAGTCCATGTGCGCCACATCGCTGGAGCAGAGAATCTTCCATCCGATTTTGCTAGCAGAAACCCTCGACAATGTTTAGACTCTAGTTGTCAGATTTGCAAGTTTATCGCAGAAATGGAGGATTCTGTTGTCCGTGAAATCTCTGTGAGTGACGTCATTGAAGGTTCCGTTCGAATGCCCTTCACTAGTAGAGCAGCATGACAAGCTACCCAGCAGGAGTGCCCTGATCTCCGGCGAACCCACTCCCACCTTCATCAAGGCACCCGCCCCTCCAAGAAAATCACTAAGATCATTGATGTCAAACGTTACCTCAAGGATATCATTGCGTTCGACGGCCTCCTTATCGTGAAGGACACTCAACCATTCCAGCCCAGCCGCGAGCGCATAGTCGTGCCCCGCTCCGCACATGATGGCCTGCTGACGGCAGTTCATATCATATTAACTCACCCGTCTAAATACCAACTCAAACGTCTGTTCAACCGGTACTTCTATGCCCTGGATGTTGATAAGACAATTGAAGCGGTCTCGTCATCTTGTCATCTCTGCCAGTCAGTGAAGACAATTCCTAAGCATCTACAGCCCCAGTCTACTTCAGACGCCCCTTCAGCCATTGGTATCTCGTTCGCTGCAGACGTGATGCGCCGTAATTGCCAGTACATACTTGTCATGCGAGAGACTGTGTCCTCATACACTATCGCTTCTCTCATTGAGAGCGAAAAGCATGAGACTGTACGTGATGCCCTCTTGATTCTATGCTCCGATCTCTACAGGGTGTATCAAAATAAACGCAATTCATCTTTTGTGCTTAATAACTTTCGAAATACTATTTCTAGTTAAACGCTTTTAGGCTTACTTTAAAGCCTGTTCTTTTCTCTTTCAAACAAACTATTATCCTTGCCTCCAATGCTAGTAATAATTGCACAGGAAAATATTTAGTAAAATCTATCATTTTTAGTTGCTGTTTAATTATGCAAGTTTACTATGTTATTGTTTAGTCGGTTTAAATGTTAGAATTTTCTTCTTTAAACTTTAATGTTGTCGTCACTACATCTGGAAAATCACGTAAGAACAAATTAAAAGTATTTTAAAAGAGACCAGGTTGTTTGAAAATCCTGAACGAATGCTAAAAATCATAGAATCAAAACATTCTGGTGTCTGAGCCAGAGTGTCATCGAATTGCGATGTAATGTAAACAGAAATTATAACAAGCTGATGTCAGTCAGCTTAGATGGTCCAAGCCAAAATTATATCGCATTTGAAGTTTCAAACTGTGTTAAAAATAGTGGAAGAAAAGCCGTAATTATACTTATTGTTACAATCCATTTATTAAAATGCAACATTGTTTTGCAGTTATTTTCATGAGAACGATTTGTTATTCCATCTCAATTTTTTTAATCTCCAATCGCAATAACGTAAAGTATTATTACCCGCGAACCAATGAGTCAAATTTAAGAAACAACCCACTGTTAGAAAGCTGAATGGCTACGCTTTAAAATGAATGTAAACTTTAACGTTTTCGTCTATTATTTGTTTAGCAATTTACATTTCAGTCGAGGATTGCGCTTTTTTTATACACCCTGTACATGCTGGTGGTGTGACAGTACGCGTGGACCCCGCCCCAGGATTCTCTGTCCTCACAAATGACAACACCCTTATCTCCTCTGGCATTCATTTGGAGGTGGGCAGACCTAAGAACCCTAATAAGAATCCCGTCGCCGAACACGCAATTGGCGAGCTTGGTACAGAGCTCCTTAACCTACATCTTGAAGGAGGCCCAGTCTCAAAGGTCGTGTTAGCTCTCGCTGTTGCCAACTTGAATTCCCCCGAATCCGATGCGATGGCCTTTCTGCCCGTGAAGTCTGGACCCAACGAGATCAGTTAACTGGTGAGCAGCTACCCATCATCGACTGCGACCTTATTCTCAATCAGAACGTATCTCGTAAGCAGAACCACCTACCCAGTGCTAAGTCGAAGGCTACTGGTAGACTAGGTTTTCCCACTCCTACCATCTCTGTTGGCGACCTGGTTTACTTGACACGTGACAAGGACAAGCTAAAAGCTTGCGAAAAATACCTCGTTTTTGACATCGACCCAAGCAAAATGTGCCACTTACGGAAGGTCACAGTTTCGAAGCAAAGTCTACCTCCTACCTATGGCCGAATGCTATCCGTTGAAGCCCTCAGTTCTAGCTCAATCCCCTCAAGGGCCTGTCCATGGGCAGAATGAGCGGCTAGAGTCCGATTCCGACGACGAGTATAATATCAGTACAGAGGCCGAAGAACATACTAGAAGTGTTACTCCACCAATCGTCATCGTACCACCTTCCCCTCCAGTACCCGATGCCATTAGCGGCATACCAGCTCTACCCACCCTCACCCCCCCCCCCCCCCCCCCCCCC